TCTAAACTCACAAAATAGTAGCGGGTTTGACAGGACAAGAGGCCTTTTAGGATTTTTTCGGGCCGATTCAACTTTTTAACTAAATATGCATTTTTAGGATTGCCCAAACTCGTCTGGGCTAGCGGGCCGGGCCGATGGTAATCACTCTACCTTAGAGTTACAAATAAATATTTACTCGTAATATTCTTTTATATTAATGTGGAATTAATTTATAAATGCATGACAAAATCTTGTGTAAATTATTGTGATAAATGTTATACTTCAAATATGTTTTCACTTCGTCAAAAAAAAAAAAAGTTTTCACTTTTAGTTTCTTAGGTTTGTTCTCTTTCCCTTATTTTTTCTGAATCGGAATTATTTTTATTGAGTTGATATTATTTGTCAAAATTAAATTATTTTTACTGAATTGAAATTAATTATACTAATTGAAATTATTTTTAACATGTTTCTTATTATATTTGATCTTTAAAGTTACTAATTTTATTTTCCTGATCTAAACTTATTTTTATCAAAATTGAAATTATTTTTAACATATTTCTTATTATATTTGTTCTTTAAAGTTACTAATTTTATTTTCCTGATCTAAACTTATTTTTATCAAAATTGGAATTATTTTTACTAACTATTCTTCTATTATAAAGAAATAAGGACTTACAAATAGCCATTAAGGTTGTGTATATTATTTTCTTTAAAAATAAATACAAGTGCTATAAACAGTATACTACCTCCGGTCCAAATTAATCGCAACTTTGGGGTATTATTTGTGAAATATAAAATATTCCAAAGTTGCGAGTATTTTGGACCGGAAGTAGTATAGTATTTAATATATCTATATTTTTAAATTCTACTATTAATTTTTTTTAAAAAAAATAGTCGAAATAAAACTATGACCTACAAGTATTATTATTTTAAAACAAAGAGATCGATTAATCAAAATAACATATACAAAGTATTTAATTTGTAGAAGTGTAGCTAATAAATCCACAAGGAAGGAATAATAAACTGAAAACAACGTAATAGATAGGGCAACAATTTGAAGCCTCTCATTTTCGCCTACAACTTTAACTTACCCTAGAAAAAAGGAGAGATGAGGGTCGATAGAAGAATCTGAGAGTGACATTAAGCATGAACATACAAATTACAGGGATAAAATAACAACAAAATTACATTGAAACTTCCTTTTCAAATTTATTTGTTTCCTTGGAATTCGATTACATGACAAAATGTCACAAAATTATGCAAGAGAAGCACATGCATGCAATGCAACTCCGATTTGTTTTCCTTGATGACTTCCTTGAAGTTCAAATTGATGGTTATTTGTATCTTTGGAGGCAAATACAAATTGATTCGTTGACAAAGACTTGTGTTATAGCGATTAAGTTCTTTCAAAACTTTTATAATAATCTATACAAAAAAAATTTAGCAAATCGAACATCTATTTGGTTATCAACCTATCAGAGCCATCACAATGATGGATATTAGATACACTGTTATCATTTTTTTTATTCATCTACTAAAAATATAGATTTTTAAGTCATACCACGTCTGTCTATTACAATACATACAGTCACGAACAAAATCATACCTCATGGCCAACGGATGCACACTCAACAATAATCACTATACCATCAATTGTTTATGGACTATATTACAAGGTATAGAACTATTACTTTAATTAGCGAAACTTTTTTTTTTTCATACATTGCATATTTCCTTATAACCAACTCAGTCAAAAGAGCCCAAATTCCTAGTTAAAGAAAGGTAGAATGTTAAAGTGAAGTAGTATCCCTTAAGATTGTTCACAAAGTCTACTTTTAAGGCTTAATTTGAAGCTAATTAAGTTGCTAATGACACATACATGTGTGTGACTTGGGAGGGGCCAAAATCCGGTCTACGGTCGTTGGACAAATAAAGGTCACATTTTACGAAATATTCAGCGGCAAAGTGTGGTTATATTATTAAAGTGACGAAAATATGATGCATAGAATCTTGGTTTATATCATTTTTTTTTATTAGTTTAATAACTTGTCCGTCCAATCAAGAACTAATCATTATAAGACATGTCTTTACTTGGGGGAAGAAGTAAATCCTTGCTTAATTATGTACAGAATAACACTTTTTGGGTTGTGATTTGTGAATGATTAGAGAAGTTTGGAATTTTTCTTCCTATATGATTCCTTAATTATTTCTTGTTGTACAATTAACTTTATCTTACCAATTGCTAATCATTAGTTCAATAGTATTAACTAACTACTCCATAGTTTACTACCTAACTAGTACTAATAGAAATCTATTACGAGAACTACGGAGTAGTAAAATTGCCTAAAAACACATGAAAATATATATAAAAGATAAGATTGACAACTAATTAACCATAGATATGTGAAGATTTTAAATCTCAGTATCTCACTACATATATGTATTAAACTAATAGTCTTGAATTTTATATTGGGATCTTTGGAAGAAACTGTTATTGGTTTGTGGTTGGTTTTACCATTATACCATTATGTTTGATAAGTACTGTGTATGGAGAAATTATAATCAACCACGCTCCAATTATTATAAAAAGAGCCTTTAATTTTTAATGTATGGTTGGTGCACCCGGGTGCACCATACGCATGGTGCACCCGGAAAGAACATTAGGTATATTTAAAAGAATATGGGCGAAAAAAAAGAACATTATAGATATTTATAAAGAACGTGAGCATAATTTGTTCTTTAAATTTGATTAATATGTTCTTTGAGTTTGAACTATATGTTCTTTATATTATACAATATGTTCTTTAATGTATGTACATTAAAAAAAAAAATCAATCACCCAAGTAACTAGAAAAAAGAACATGTTCTTTGCTGTATTATCATGTTCTTTTTGTAAAGACTTTATGTTATTTGGTTAGAGGTGATCAAAGTTAGACCGACCCGACTTGATTTTGGACGGGTTTGGGGCAAAAAAATTTCACCCCCAAATTCGGTCGGATCCGGCCCGTAAATTTAAATTTTTGGGCAGGTTTGGGATTGCGTTATTATGCATTTTAGTTGATTTTTTATACTCAACACGAAAAGCCCGCACGGCCGAACCATTTTGGGCAGGTTTGGGCACAAAAACTTCAGCCCAAAACTTGGCCCGGCTCGAGAAGTGAGCTGATTTTTTAACCTTGGCCCGGTCCGCCCAATGATCACCTATATATTTGTCAAACACGAACATGTTCTGTTTTGTCAAATATAATGTTCTTTTTCAAACACGTTTAACCACCCAAATAACCATGAAAAATAACATGTTCTTTTTGTAAAGACTTTATGTTCTTTGTAATGTCATGTTCTTGTCAAACACAAACATGTTCTTTTGTCAAACACAGGTATGTTCTTTTTCAAAGACTAGCATGTTCTTTTTTTTTTGCCCATGTTCTTTAAAATATGTCTAATGTTCTTTCCGGGTGCACCATGCGCATGGTGCACCCGGGTGCACTATACTATTTTCATTTAATTATATTCTATTGTACTTTGAAAAGTATAAAATTTAAGCTTTCTGCCTTCTTGAATTGGGCGGGGTTTATTCCTCATTTTCTATAGAGGAACATTAAGCATGTGTTGCATTAACGTGTTCATCACACACCAAAGTCACCAATGTATGAGAGGCACACACACAAACCTCACGGATTGTTTGGGCCTAGCTAATACGCATTGGCTGAGGCACTATTCTTTATGCTCATGATAGTATGAAACAATTCATTCTACAAAAACGTAATTTGCTAAATATTGAAGGTATCAAACATATAGCTTATATTGGGCGCTACCGCGCTATGCATTTTCTTGAAAGATAGATGAAATTGACAGTCCAAATATTGCCCACTAGCTTGTAAAAGACAATAAGTTTAATTACAATTACTAACCCTGTTTAGGATGATAAAACATGATGCAATAAGGGATAGAAACCAAAGGTTTGTGCAAAAGAGTGAGATCCATTTGTTTATTATATAATCAAACAAAAAAAATTGGTCCCATATTTCAAAAATGTATAGAATGCAATGGGATATATTCCTGAAATTGACAATGAAGCTAAGAGTCCAAATTATTTGAATCACCATTCATATTTTGTCATTTTGCGTTCTCGAAGCTATTATATATCTCATCACAAAATGCCACAAAATGAAAGCAATCTAGGTTATGGAACATACACATGCTGTTTCAAAATTGGCCTTATTCCATTCAAAATTTCAAAATTACCAACAAATTATTCCCCTATGTAATTCAAGTGTAGAAAAAAAATTTGTAATATGGATGTCAAGCAAGTAGTAAATGGTAGTATTATTGAAACTTAACAAGCGAACATGTTAGCTAAAACGAAGCAAAGTATGATTCCATATATTGTTTCGCATTAAGGTAGAATTGTAAAATTTGTATACAAAATTTATGTTAATATATTCAATAATACATGGACACATACAATTTTCTTAAATAAGGGGAGAGACACTAAGTGTTTGGACGTAATATATGACAATTATGACCTATAAAAACAATTTATGAACATTTTAAAATTTTATCCATTTTGTAATTCAGCTAAATTATGAACGCATGCATTTGAACTCCAATTTCGCGATGCCCAATAATTACAATTGTTAATATTTCCTTATTAGTAATCTTGACATCCAACCCTTTTTCTTCTTCTAAATTGACATCTAATCTATTGTACTTTGCTAAATATTCAAACACACTTAGATCAAAACTCAACATTTTCATTGAATTTATTCCTTTCTTTCCATATTTTCAAGTTACATTCAAATTTCACACTAGACATGTGGGTGGCATCACACAATGTGGACCTACAATTTACTAAACTACAAAATCATCTCAATATGACTAAACAAATAGGTGCCAAGTGATACAAAATTCAAAGTTCACACATGGTTGAAGTAACAATAAGGTATTGTAGATTATTATTATAAATTTATAATGATGACAAACACAAACCCATACCCAACAAACCAATTTACATTTTCTTGTATTATCAAAGATAATAATTGTTTGGGTCCAATTTAGTCCAATTGGGCCTGGTCACTGAATGATCCAATTAAAAGCCCAAGGCAAAGGTTCAACTCTCCAAATATGCTAAAGTCAAAAATCAACATCCTCAAAGCCATGTCAAGGTCAGTCAACGGCCCAATCAGCTTGGCCCAGCCCAACTGATTTCCGGGCCCAATCCGCCTCCTTCATTAGCCAAGGTATAAAAGCCAACAATTTGGTCAATTCTGGGTAAGAAGTAAGACAAAGACAAAGACAAAAAAGCCTCAAGCAACTAAACTCTTGCACAGCTTTCTCTCTCTAATATACTGACTTAAGCATCGGAGGGGCCTTCCTCGGCGTCCCCCCCGAGGCTAGTTTACGTGTATTTGTTGTGCAGGAAACCCTCGGCTCCTGCGTCGTTCGGACCGAGACCAAGTTCCCTCAAGATAAAAGGATCTTCCGAGATCCGATTGTTTTCATCCGAAACAATTTGGCGCCGTCTGTGGGGAACGCTACTAAATTTCGCGTCAGTCATCAAACACTCCGGCAGTCGCCATGACTAAGAGTGGAAAGAGTTCCAAGAAGGCTAAGAAGGGAGGAGGCCGGATTACGGTGAGGGAACGCCAGCCGGTTTATCCCTCCCCGGAGCAAGCCTCTTCCGAATCGGAGGCCCCCATTTCTCCGGAAAGGGAAGCCTCAAGAGGTCCTAGCCTCCAGGAGGAGAACACCTCGCACCACACTCGGCAGCCGGGGCCATCCCCGAGACCGAGTGGCTCAGGCGCGAGGAACTCCCCGCCGCGCCATAGCGTGCAATCCAGGTCACATCCGCGGGAGACTCCTCTCTCCGGACCCTCCACCGAGGAAGTGGCCAGAGCAGTGGCCATCTGCATGGAGTTCCTTAAAGCTCAAGGGGCTCCAATCCAGATGCCTGATGATCACCAGCCGAGAAACCTGAAAAGGAGGATCGGTCAGGATGATGGTGGACAAGTTCCACCACATAGACAGCTCGGCCAGAGGTGGCGAGGGGACACCCGAAACTCCAGTAAGGAGAGGAGGAGGAACCCTCAACCCTCTGACCACTCCGAAGCTCAGAATTCCATGGGGCCCTCCAAGGACCCGGAATTCGCCCGCCAAAGCGTTCACGAACGCTTGGGTTCGAGGGAGGTGAGTGTGCATAGCCGCCTCACCTTCCCAGAGGATACCGGACCCCACCCAACCTTGTCTCAGCCGGGGACGAAAACCACTTCCACCTCTGAGAGAGGAGGGAGCGAGGTCCCTAAGGCCGGGTACAAGGGGAAGGCGGTCATGGTTCCATCGAACTCGCCCTTCCAGAAGTGGATTCTGGAAGAGCATGTGCCAACGGTCAAAATCCCGGCACATATTACTTACGATGGTACCTCAGATCCTAAGGATCACATTGCCTCTTACGAGGGGCACATGTATCTGAACCCGAGGTCTGAGGCTACCTGGTGTAAATACTTTCCTACGACCCTCAAAGGTGTTGCCCAATCCTGGATCACCAAAGGGCTCAAGGAAGGCTCCATAACCGGTTGGAACGACCTCTCCAACAAGTTCAAGAGCAAATTCTCTACGGCCAACCGCCGAGAGAAGACCACTGCAGAGCTAATGAGTCTGCAGCAGGCGGAGGACGAGAGCCTCCGCGACTATCTGACTCGCTTCAGCAACGAGTCATCCGGAATCACAAGCCTGGATCAAGGCCTGGCCGTGTTCGCGCTACGGAACGGCCTCCAAGCTGGAAAGTTCCTGGACTTCATGGTCATGCATCCCCCGCAGACCCTGGAGGAAGCCTTGGAAGCATCGGATAGGTTCATCCGAGCCGAGGAGTGGAACAGATCCAGGTCTCAGTCTCGTCCGAGAATTGAGAAGCCGAAAGGGCAGCAGCCCGAAGTCTCGGCGCAGAGGAAAGGGAAGGCTAAGGCCTCAGAACCGTCCTCTGCTGCCGAGCCGAAGAAGGAAAGACACTTTCCCTACACGGGAAGGTACGATTCATACACTCCACTCTCCCTTCCCCGTGCTAAGATTTTCAGCACGACGAAGGACGAGGGGAGATTCAAAAAACCTCGTCCGTTGCCTCCCTGGCATCAGACGAGGGGAAAGGACCAGTGGTGCGAGTTCCATGACTCACCCGGACATCGCACCGAGGACTGCGTCCAGCTGAAGGACCAGATTGAGGATCTGGTCCGCAAGGGGTACCTGAGCCAATACCTCGCGGACAGGCGCGAGGAGAAAAAAGCTGAAAAAGATTCTCGGCAGGACCTCAACTTCGCTCGGAAGAAGGATAAGGGACCTCAGGGCAAGGAGTCCCTCGACATCCTAGTTATTTCCGGGGGAATCTCGCGAGGCACAGCCAAACGCCAACTGAGGGGTCTAACCCATCAGATTCATCAGGCTGAGCTTCGGCAGTCCCAGTCACCGGCGCCGAACATCCTGTTCACAGCCGAAGACTGTGAGGGGGTGGTATACCCCCACGATGACCCACTAGTAATCATTCTGGGCATCGCCAACCGCAACGTCTGGCGGACCCTCGTCGACGGCGGTAGCGGGGCGAACATCCTCTTCCGAGGAGCGTTCGACCAGCTGAGGATGGGAGCCGAGCACCTGGACCCCGCACCCTACCCGGTGTCTGGATTCAACGGCTCTTCATCGTATCCTGACGGGAAGATTACACTTCCTGTCACCATCGGCGAAGGCCGAGCAGCTAGGAATATCATGGCCGAATTTTTGGTCGTAGATGCTCCATCTGCATACAACGTGATCATGGGGAGACCCCTCATTCACGGCATTCAAGGAGTCGTCTCCACGTATCATCAAATCATGATATACGTTTCAGACGAGGGACGCTCCGAGAAAATAAAGGGCAGTCAAAAAGAAGCCCGCCGATGCAATCACCTCAAGCCATCCACGTCTCGCCGAGGCGACCGTGGCGATGGGGAGGAAAAGCACCGGGACCGAAACGCCAAAAAGCCGAGAGGCTCAGACGTTTCGGCTAATGAAGCCCCAGACAACGAGAAATCTGATGGGGGCCAAAAGGCTGACTCCGCCTCAGAGCCGAACGACTCTGATGGCCAGCCGCGGTCAGGAAAGTCTGCTAATATTGATAGCAGGCCGGAATTCGAGGAATCCAACTCTAAGAGCATGGAGACGGATGACCTGACCGAGTCAATAGAACTGACCGTAGGAGATCCGAACAGATGTGTTAGCATCGGGTCGTCACTGGAGCCAAACACCCGTGCGGCACTCGTCCAACTCCTACGGGCCAGTGGAGACGTGTTCGCCTTCTCAGCCGCAGAAATGCCCGGGATTGATCCGGACTTCGTCTCCCATAGGCTTAATGTCGACCCCTCCAGTCGACCCATTAAGCAGAAAAAGCGGAACTACTCCGCCGAAAAGAACCAGAACATCGCAGCTGAGGTCGATAAGCTCCTAGATGCTGGGTTCATTGAACCCTGTCAGTATCCGGAGTGGCTGGCCAATGTTGTAATGGTTCAGAAGGCAAATGGTAACTGGAGGATGTGCGTTGACTTCACGGACCTGAATAGGGCATGTCCCAAGGACTCCTATCCGCTGCCGAGGATCGACCAACTGGTCGACTCGACAAGCGGGCATGCTCTGCTCAGTTTCATGGACGCATTCTCGGGATACCATCAGATCTTCATGCACCCCGAGGACCGAGCTAAAACAGCGTTCATAACAAGTTCCGGGTTGTACAATTACAGAATGATGCCCTTCGGATTGAAAAATGCGGGGGCAACATATCAGAGGTTGGTTGATCAGGTTTTCGCCGAGCAAAAAGGCCGAAACATGGAGGTTTATGTTGACGACTCAATCGTCAAAAGCATAAAAGAAAAAGATCATGTCACGGACCTAGCCGAAACCTTCGCCACCCTCAGAAAATACAAAATGAAGCTGAATCCGAAGAAATGTGTCTTCGGCGTGAAGTCAGGCAAGTTCCTCGGCTTCATGGTCAGCAAGAGGGGGATTGATGCAAACCCCGCCAAAGTACAAGCTGCTTTAGACCTCCCCGAGCCGAAGACAAAAAGGGATATTCAGCGTTTAGCCGGGAGAATGGCTGCCTTGTCCAGGTTCATCTCACGAGCCTCAGACAAAGGGCTCCCTTTCTTCAAGGCGCTGAAGCTCCAAAATTCAAAAGGCATTGAATGGGGAGACGAACAAAAGTCAGCCTTTCAGCAGCTCCGTGAACACCTGGCTCAACTCCCAACACTGGCAAGGCCAGTCGTAGGAGACATCCTATACTTATACGTGGCGGTCAGTCCAGCCACGGTAAGCGCGGTGCTGCTAAGGGAAGAAGAAAAAGTTCAACAGCCGATCTATTTCGTCAGCCACACCCTGACGGATGCCGAGACGCGCTACCCATTGTTAGAAAAAGTGGCTTATGCAGTGGTGGTGGCTGCTCGGAAGTTGCGACCCTATTTTGATTCTCATCAAATAGCGGTTCTAACTGATCAGCCGTTAGAGAAAGTCCTCGGCAAGGTTGAAAAATCCGGTAGACTAGCAAAGTGGGCTTTCGAGCTCACCGAGTTCAGTATCGGTTATCAGCCGAGAACAGCCATCAAGGCGCAAGCCTTGGCAGACTTCTTGGCCGAGTGCTCCTATCAGGAGACTCTGGATGCAAGGAGGAAAATCTGGACCGTCTTCACGGATGGGTCCTCCACCGTGAACGGTTCGGGGGCAGGGGTCGTCATTACCTCTCCCGAAGGCAAAACCTTCGAGTATGCACTAAAATTTTCATTCAAAGCCTCTAACAACGAGGCCGAATATGAAGCAGCCATTGCTGGCTTAGACCTGTGCATATCGTTGGAAGCCGAGCATGTCTACCTCAAGACAGATTCTCAGCTGGTCGCCAATCAGATCCGGGGGGAGTATGAGGCTAAAGAGCCTTCAATGGCAGCTTACCTCACAAGGATCAAATCGACAATTGCGAAGCTGAGATCTTTCGAAGTAGAGCTGATCCCAAGGGGTCAAAATGCTCAAGCGGA